GATTCGGTGGGGGGTGGATGGGAGGATGACGGGATGGGTTTTAAAGAATGACTATATAGGTTTAAAAAGAATGACAGGCGTAAAGCCGAGTAGGACCAAAATGCACACCGAATGGTTGGTATGGAAAGACGTTGACGAGGGGTGGTGAGAGAGAGGGAAAAAGAAGAGAGAGGCCTGGGGCTGTCTCGGAGTGGGAAGGGGGGGTATAGAAAGACGAGACGACGGAGAGGGCGAAGGCGGATGAGGTGAGCATGCACCAGCAACACACACCCTGCACTTGCGCCTGCCTGCCTGCCCCTGGGTCCCAGGAAACTACCCACGCCAGTGCCATGGCAAGCGCCATGATCGAGGGCAGGGGGGTGTGGTAGAGGGAGTGTACGGGGGGGGGGGGGCGAGGAGACGGATAGTGGAGACCAGAAAACCGCCATTGCCAATTCAATGAGCAGGCCGACATCATCAGTTCTACGGTGTACCTGGCGAGCCTCTTCAGACTACCTGGGTGGCCAGCGCTGGGTGAGAAGCGAAGAAGGGAAGCTGCGCGCGACGTTGGTCGCGCCAGCGGTACCTGGCTTCTGCGCGCGCACATGATGAATGGGGTACCAGGAGATTAACGCGCGAGATTATCGAAGCATGGTTGGCTGCAGGGGGGCGTGTGCGACAGGGGGCTCTAGCGTCCTGTAGACCAAAATTGGCTAGGACCACCTTTCCGGCGGCGCAGGGCTGAGTCGCGCGAATGATGCCTCACTACGGCCGCCTTTTTAGGGGGTGTGAGGTGAGATCAGGCAGCTCCAGCACAACGGGGAGGGAGTAGAGGTGCGTAGTACGTAGCAAGCAGAGAAAACACCTCCGCTGGAATGTGTCTATAGTCATAACCGCCAAGGACGTGCTACGGCTCGCTGATGATGCCATTGCGTGGGACCCTTCTCAGGCGTCGGCCCAGCCTAACGCTCACTACCTGGACCAACCGCGGGACCTGCGACTGCCTGAGTGAACAGCTCCCGCACTAGCCCGGGTACGCCAGGAACGTGCCTTTCTCGTCCTGCCTAGTCAGAAGCTGGCCCACCAAGACCGTCAGCATTGGGCCAGGCACGCCATGCACGCCATGCACGGAACAGCCTAAACAGGACTACCAACGAGGCCATTCATCCTTCGATCCGCCTGGCCACAGCAGGAGATTGGGAAACGGCCCTTTGCTGTCCTCTGCTGGCTTTTGCTGGTCTTCGCTGTCCACAGGGCCTTTTAGCTGCCATCCTTCAGGGGCCGAACACCCGGAGTCTCGGTCCCTCGTCTCGAAATGGTGACCGAGTCATCGGCAACGGCAACGGCAACGGGGCCAAGGCACTCAAAGCCCCCCCTCCAACGCACCGCCGACTTAAACTTTCGCCTGTTTGCCCAGATTGTCGCATCCTGCCTGTCGTGGGGCTCGCACGCGCCCACCTACGACCCAAGAAGTCATTTCCAAGACTCTCGCTTTGGGTCCCTGGCCTCTTTCCCGTACTGCCAACGAACCACGGATCATGTCACATATGGCTTTTTCTCTTTCCTTCCCTGTTGCCCCCCTCTGGCGCACAGCCTCTTCACTGATTCCGTGCCGTTGGGGAGGGCGCCAGGGTGAGGCGGTGGCAGAAGGCAGGCCAGATGGCCACAAGGGGGTGGGGGGGACGAAATGAAGCTGGCGGGTATCCCCACTCACGATGCTCCCTGGACCACCTTCTCGTCGATTCACGGGTCATCCCCTCTTCCTCTCGCCAGAACACTCCCAGCTTCCCCGCCAGGAATAGACCTGTTCACTCAAACCCAAAATCCATGGACGAAGACGATCCTCATCTGGCGCATCAAATGCCGCGGCGGCGTCGCTCGTGGCTTGCGTCATCTTGGCGAGCAAAATATTCCGAGCCCTCCGCCTGAACCAAGAACGAGACGCCAGCTCTCCATCGTGATCAATCAGCACGACTCAGCGCGCGCCACAAGGGGGCGTTTCCGGCAGTTGCGCACGCCTCCATGTTCAATGCAACAATCGTAAAAGAAACCTTCCCAGCATGTTGGCGAGGCCCCTCTTCGGAAACTTACGTTGGCTTCGACCGCCAACATTTGTATGTGTGCCTTTGCGCCTTGACAGCCGTGCCGTATAGGCGCCATACATGACGGAAGCAGCTCTGCCAACTCTCTGGATCTCTGTCTTTCTTTAGCTGTAAGCCGAGCCTTCCAGCCAGCCTCAAGAAGAGCTACCGTCTTCAGCCGCTGGGCGTCAGGCCAGTGGTGTCTCACAGACTTTGTCACTGACTGGTCGAACTGCCCGTGACACACACACGCCGACTCCATGACTGCAGCCTTAGGGGCAGTTCCAAAGTCTCTTTCGACCCCTTGAGCCAACCGCGTGCTGTGCGTCCCCTGCGGTGAAACCACACCATGCGGAGAGCGCTATCGGTGCTTACTTTTTCCTTGCCGTCAGCCACACGTTTGCAGTGACTTGGTTGACTGGCCCTGGTCTCACAGGACGAAGAAGGGAAAGACACAGTAGGGCGGCCCAAGATCTGGGAAAGCGCCAAAAAGAGAGGCTTGGCTGCGTGGCATCAAGTGCGTGATTCTGAACCAAGTATTGACGCACACTTCAGCCCTTACCCAGCCACGATGCGACAAGGGGGAGGGGGGGGGGCATGATATGCGGAGGGACGGATGGCCAAGCCTGTCGCTGTCAGCCTGCAGCAAACAGCTGGCAGTGCTCGTTCGCGTTCTCATTCTTCGGGGTAGGCAAATCAGCAGGCACACAGACAAGTGGGCATTTTCATTGGCATCGCAAACTGAGCCGTCCTGGCCAAGGCGGCCCTGCCGTGTATCCGTTCGCGCTCGCAGCTGCAAAGACGTCGCTTGTCCACTCTGGTGTGGCTTGGCTGCTGCTTGAATGGCACCGCGTCTATGCAGCCTTGTTAGCTTGGCGGTGCGGACTGGGTTGTGTCAACATCGCTCTACTAGTATCCTCCTCAACTGCTTCCCATGATCGATGGCTTTCCAGAATGTGGCGGGACTAACGAATTGTGGCCAAGAAGGAAACATTGAGGCCCTCCACTTCGTTGGTTCTCACTTGTGTCTTGCCAAGTCTTACGACGAATGAGGCCCGTCTTCCAGATGTCGGTGATCAGCCGCACCCGGTCCCAAAAGCCCTGGGTTGATTCGCGAACATTCAGCCCTCAATGTGTGAATATCCCGAACGCCTGCATCAGCCGAGATAGGGCCAAAGTCAGGCTCGCTTCGAGACTCTGCTGAAGAAGCAATCAAACATTTGAAGCCTTGCCTCCTTCGGCCCCTGAATCCTTCGTCAGCATGGGACTGTGCCGTGAGGACTTGTCTTGACCACGTGACCCGTGCCCATGTTCCGCCACTCCAGTGCATCGCCAGCCTTGGAACGCATACCCCTACCTGGTACTGACTAAGGTAGGCTCCTACGATCGGTAGACACCTGAAAGGTACGGCCCCTACTACCTGCCCCACCTTCAGTAGGAGCTTCCCCGCGCTCCCAGTGTGCATCATTACTGACTAAGGCTGTACCACTCAACATCAAACGTCAACATGACCTCGCACTCTTCCATCCAGCCTCGTGAACGTTCTTCAAGTCTGATCAAACCGTGACACTCCTTAAAACTACTAGTTCTTCTCATCGGACCTAAAAACAACACCCTTCCCTCCTCGTAGCTGAAGACAAAGAAGCTTGTCCGCCCCGCTAGAATGTCAGACCCAATCACCGAATTCGTGACCTTCACGCCGCGCGACCTCGCCTCCCATCCATCCGCCCCCTTCGGCGCCGTCGCGAGCACGCTTCTCGCCACGCCGGGCGTCGAGTCTTTGCACACGGGCCCGCAGCACGAGGACCCGGCCACGCACCTCCTCGCCATCCACTGGACCTCGCACGCCGCCTTCACGGCCTTTGCCGCCTCGGACCGCTACACGCCCTGGCTCGCCGACCTCAAGGCCCTCCTCGCCGGCCCGCCGCGCTTCCACCAGGTCCGCCTCGCGCATGCGGCGGCGGCCGTCCTGGCGGCCCCCTGCACCGAAATGATGACGGCCTACGACATTGACAGGCCACTCTTCCCGGAGAACCTGCGCCTCTTCTCCGAGCGCATGGCGGCCGCGTGCGCGGCGCAGGGCACAAGGGGGTGGCATGCCAATGCGCACGGCGAGGTCACGACGCCTATTTCCAGGGACGTAGACGGGACGCCGGGGCCTGCTGCCGTGCTGCTCATCGGGTGGGATAGCGTGGAGGATCATGCTTTGGCCAAGGGGGGCCCTGGACGTGAGTTTTTGTTCGCCTGACTAGTGTCATGAGTTGGGACGCGAGTGGCAAATGTCCATGCTGACTGACCATGGCAGCCATTCTCGACAACATTGAGCTCATCAGGACGGGGCGAAAGGACGTCACATTGGTGAGTTGCCTCGCTTATTATACTTGCGGACACAGGGGCTAAATCTTGCAGCATCACTACAACCTCAAGCAGCTGTAAGACGCGGGCCATTACATACGCTTCGCCTGTGGCCTGGCATCACTGCACGCTCCATCCCAGTTGCCGCCGGCGAATGCCGCCTACCTTAACTGCAATATGCCCCTGACAAGCCTGCTGCTTCTGTCAGTAGCCGCGATCTGGATCACTTACCAGTGCTACGCATGCTTCCGGCAAATGCTCCGGGGCTCGTCTTCCGACGCTCTGCCGCCGCCAAGTCAGCTCTACATCACGTCAGCAACAGTCCACGTTTAGTCCATGTTGCAGTATGAAAACGTGCTGGGTTGACTTGAGAATAAGGTGCGCAGGTCGACCCATGACCAACAGAACTAGGGTGCTGCAAGCACTTTGAACATCCAAGGGACGTCGGTGAGCTTACGACGTGGATACGGTAATCGCGCACGGCAAAAACACAAGTGCCGAGCAGCAAGGGGAAATCGGCGTACTTTTCCGTGCAAGAGTCAAACTGGGCATGGGAGACGATGTGCAACGCGAGGCAAGGCAGGGCAGGAAAGGGTTAGAGAGAGGAAGACGGCTATTAAAAGGAGTATCTTCTCTAGGAATCACTCCATCCAGTGATCGCAGAGAAACGCCTAATACCCGGAAGTCGCCGAATCGCAATGTACCGCATGTCGAGCTTTTTTTTCTTTAATCTGAACCGACAAGACATCCTGGTGGCACCACCGCCACCAGCCCAAGCATAACCGAAAGCCGAGAACAAGATATTGCGAACAATTTAGACCCATAGCGGGACCGTTCGATCTGAGAAGGTTCAAAAGTATATCATGTAACGTCGTAAATTTTTAGACCCGGTGCTTCTCCGATTCTGCGTGCGCAATTAGTGACAAACTCAGACGTGGGAATTGCTGCTGCTAGATTCAACCTACCGAGGCGCGAGTACAGCATGTAAAGGGCCATGCGATTCGTTTCGTCCGTGCCGGTAATGGTCACCAGACGCTCGTTGCTGTTGTCTTGGGGTTCGTTGATCTTGATCACACTGCCGCTGATCTGGCGTATCTCGTTGATCTTCTGGCCGCCCTTACCAATGATGGCGCCAACCATATCGTTAGGAATGAAGATTTGCTGCGTCAGAGGCTGACCGGCCATTCCGCCAGCGGCGGGACCACCATGCATGGGCTGCGCGGGGTGTCCGCCGTGGGGCTGAGGAGCCGCAGGACCACCGTGTGGCTGCATAGGCGCGCCGCCGTAGCCGCCAGCCTGAGCACCGTATTGCTGAGGAATGGCGGGGCCGGGCTGGGCGCCGTGAGGGGGATATTGCTGGCCGTAGGGAGCGGGCGGCATGTGGTGCTGCTGGGGATGTTGGCCCCTGGCATCATGGCGTCTGCCAAAGTTCTCCCTGTTGCCGTAGTTGCCGGTCGTCGGCTGGGGGCAGTACGGCACTACCTGCATACCACCTGGGACAACACCGGCAGGACCGCCGCTCCGCGTCGCGTAGGCTGAGGCGGCCGGACCGCCAAAGCGGTCATTCAATTGCTCCAGTAGAGTGCTTCCCACGTAGTACGTGGCGATGTGGACAGCGTCGGCCACGCCCATGACCACGAGGGAACGCTCGGTTGACATGGGGAGGCAGGAGTCAGAAGCGTTAAGCCGGGCGCCGGACGCCTCCTGAATCTCACGGATACGAGCTCCACCCTTACCAATGATGGATCCGATCAGGATGTGGGGGATGAGGAGTCGAAGGGGGTACGTCTTGGACTGCGCACTGGACGGCTCGTCCAGGGGCTCATTGTTCAGGGTTCGGATGATCAGACCAAAAGCCTACAGGGCGAGTCAGTTCAGGAAAGTTCTTCAAAGAGTCCAAGTATGGTCGCTCACCTTGGCTGAAGCGTCTACCACGCCGCTAACGGTCAGGATGCGCTCAACGGCACCCTTCTGGTAGTCGCTGACCGTGCACTTGGCCCCAGACATCTTGCGAATGTTGGACACGTTTTCGCCTCCCTTGCCAATGACCGTCGCAGCCTCTGGGCTGGAGATGACGGCGCGAATGTGGATCCAAGCCGTCTCGTCATGCGTCGAGGCATTAGGAGTGGACGATGGAACGTTGCCGGCCACGGCACTAGCAATGGGCTTCGGCTCGTCTGCGGCCTCGCCTTCGGTCTCCTCCTTGGCACCGTTGGTGGTTTCGGAAGGGGCAGCCTCGGTGGCTTCGACAACAGCGCCGGCGTCATCCTCTTCCTCAGGCTTCTCAGCCATGGCGACCTCGTCGTCATTCTTCAGAATCTTGTCCAGGGCAGGGCGCTTGGCATCGGGCTGGTCGTTGCTGCGCGATGGCGAAGACGTCTCCTCGAGAGGGCGCTTGGCCGAGTTGGCGGGTTGCGTGGGTGAAGCCGACATGTTGGGCTAAGTATTAATTGCGTCTCACACACGAGATTGATTGGGCTGAGTACGCCGGAAGTTAGATGTTCAGAGAACAGCTTTTATTGGCCTATCTACACCGCAACGGTTTTCGAAGGAAAACGGGCAAGTGTAGTGGCGCGATGGATTGGACCTGGTGCTCGGAGCGAGCTGGTGCTGTTGATGAAGTGGTTATGGATCGAGGGAGGACAGGTGCGTGCGATCGAGGGAGATAGGTCGGGGTCGGGATCAGGCTGTGGTCGGGAAAAGGCAGTATCGGGCCAGAAGGACAAGAGTCCAGAAGGTTGGGAGGACGGTGAGGAGGTCCTGGAAGTGTGTTTTCTGATGGAGAGAAAAAGATGGGAGGTAAAGGTAGGTGGACGAGGTGAAGAGGTGAGGTAGGAGGAGGAGTGATGGACGAGGATGAGTCGTACGGATCGCGAACGTTGATGCTCAAACCTTGAACCCACACAGCTCGTATGCCTTCAAGAGATGGAACGTGGGAAAGTCGATCGCGAATCCTAGCGAAAGCACTCTGGGTCTGCTCGCAGCACCTGGAGTCTCGTTTAACGGAGATGGCTTCCTCTCGAGGCTGGGTAAGGCAGGAGGGTGAGCTTGCAGCTCTGCGGTCGGCAAGCTTGGAGCTAGGGGGAGGGGGAGGCGGAGGTGGTCGCCAGAAATTCCAGAAGATGGATTCGAGGGACGAGGGGCGGCAGCAAAGGGACTCTTGGTCCTTTTGGATGATAAAGAATGGGATGTAGAAGACACAGGTGATGGAAAAGAGATGAAGTCGGGACCTTGGACTGTGGATGACAGCGCGCGAGGAGCTTCGAATCGAAGGGGGTGATTTGTCTCGGTGCGGTTTGGGAAAAGATAGTCGACGCGCGCGAAGGTTGCTGAAACCCCCCCGGAGAAAAGATCGACCCTAGCCTCCATACAGTGCTGCGCTAGGACACCTTGACAGTAGGGGCGCACTGATGCAGCCAAGTACGGGGCTTCCCTCGAGGCTGCGGTGTGCATCATGTGCCGCGCCGTACAGTGCCCGGGGATCGTTTGCCCCACGGCCGACGCGTGAAGGCTCGCTCCCCTTGTGCCCTGGCCTTGTTGTGAGTGACCAGGAGCAATCTCAGGCTGCCGTATCACACTCTACCTCATCGGTGTGAAACAAAGGGGGGGGTAGATCCGTCCTCAACAGCGTCAAATCTCCATCGGCATGACTTTTCGGGCTCCCAGGGACATCAATCACCGTCAAAGCACCACGCAAACCCCCGCTACCTTGGGTGTATTGCTCTTCGACGCTGCTCAGCGACTGAAGCCATCGCGACTAGTTTGGTAACCTGCCACCATGGTGTTGGCCCAAGCGCGTCCAGGGGAGACCAGGCACCTCCTGAGCGTCGAGCATAGCCTCCAAGAACTTCAGGCCCAGATAGTCGAATACCAGCAGGAGCTCGCATCAGTGTGACATTCTATTCTATTGAATTATGATCCGGAGACTAATGATTCCCAGCTTCAACGTAATGCGCAGCCTCTCGACCAGACTGTCGCCAGTTCCAGGGTCGCGCCTTTCAAGATTATGAAGTCGGCCTTCGATCGTGTTTTCCAAGAAACTCCGTTCATGCCTGCCTCATCTTCAGTGCTGCCGGCCCTGCTCTCTCTCCGCCAGGCACATCAAACCGTTGACGAGTCGAGAGCATATATTGCTACACAAGAGATATCCATCGAGAAGGCTCACAACCAGCTCCTAGCCGAAAAGGCCAGTCTGAACGATCAGCAACAGCTGACTGCAAGCTTGGAAAAGCGCATTGAGTCACTCAACGAGGAGCTCAACAACCACATGGACACGGACCCGGGGGATGCAGCCAGGGAAAGGATGAAGGAGTTGAGGCAGAAGCAGAAGCAGTATGCACGAGAGACGTCACGGTTGCTGAAAGACCTCAATAAGTTCATCGATGAACATTTGGCCTCTCAACTCGCTGCCGAAGACCTTGGAGGACCCGTCGTTGGAGACATGATGGATGTCGACGTCCAAGACCTTGCCGCAGGCTTCAACGCGCAGGGCCGCCCCAAGAAGCTCAAGGCTACAAATGCCGACGACGGGGGCAAGCGGCAGCGACGGCTAGAAGAAGTCTGGGGTGCTGCTATTGCCGCCGACCAAGGAGGGAACGATGTTCCTAACGAGACTGCCGCTGCCGGACGGGAGATGCGGGAGCTAACTGAAGAACTCCTCAACCAACTCGTCGAGTCGGGCGGCGATGGCACGGCGGCATATGTCAAAGTGGCCAGAGACACTGCGGCTGCACGCTTTTTGGTTCGATCGAAAGTCGCGCAACTTCACCCGCGCGACGCAACCAGGATTCGGTTAATCGACTTTGGAAAGGAACTGGACGACTGAAGGGTTACACTATTGACAGCGATTGTTGTCCTCCTGACGCACGACATAGTCTTCCAGGAGGTTTTCTACTCTTGGCCTCCCCAAGCGGGTGTATTACCTTTGCTAGGAAGAAGAGGTTAACGATCGACGAGTTGCTCAAATGCAGTAGTACGTGCCCCCCTCTACAAACGAGGATCTTTTCCCTCGCTCGCAACGGAGCGACGGAGGCATGTCATAACATGACCAGTTGAAGAAACCGAGCTCAAATGACCTCATCTGCCGCGAATACGTCGCTCACAAAGCCTACGATCGACCATCAAAGCGTTACTTCGCGTTGTAGGAGCCACAGGCACGAGACAATTTCAATGAAAGGTGACTGAAATGATTCTTGCGCACTGCTGTATCTGATGCATTCAGCACCCTAGAAGCCAGATTAGCGGGTTATACTACTGGTGGCGGTTTGAAGGCTACAGCTTGCTTCCGCCGAGTAAGATGCTGGCATTTTGCAGGCCGCTGCCATATGACCCGGGGATTACCCTGTGTGTTCATCGATGCCAAAGCATCGTCGCTGGGCGAGACACCTCACCTTGTGATATGGGGCATTGACACCTGTTTCCTCCTCTCACATGATTGCTAACCTCCTTCGACAAACTACGGTAACACGGAAAAAGATAGGAAGGTCTTCGAAGCATCGACCACCCTTCCATGATTTGCTAGAACCGACAAAACGACGCGTCAACGGAAAGAATCTGGAGTCTCTGAAATGATGCAACTCGTGTCATATTTCCTCCCAACAAACCCTATCGGTTCCCAATCCGCAATGCTTAATATCAAGACTACACACTACGGTCAGGAAAATCGCAAACGCCCGCTTAAAGCAACCCAACGGCCATCACCAACCAGATCGTACAGCCCCCGGTGACCTCCTATACTCATTTCTTGTTGATGAGGGTGTGATACTCACTTTGTCCATCAAACTCGACAGGTAATCCTCCTGACCCAGAGCATTGAGTGCATCTTCCTTTTTCTCCAGGAGATCCAATAGAAGAGACTCAATATGCATGGCCATCTTCGTGAAGTTTTTTCTGAGCTCGTTCGGATCCATGCCGTACTTGTACGCGGCGTCCTTGTCCCTGCCCTTCTTATCGATTCTAGCGATGATCTTCATCCCTACCACAGCTATTTCCGCAAATCCCGTACGTTCCGCCTTTTTGGCAGCTTTCAATACCATTTCAGATAACAAAAGCGTGTCCGACGACAGCGCTCTCAGAGACGCCTCGTTCTTCCAAGCCACGGACTCGGGCCAGCCTCTCTCCACGCAACGGGAGATCTGAGTGAGGATCAGGGCCAGATCATTGCAGGTCTCGCTTAGACCAGATTCAAGCAGAACTCGATAGGGCTTCTCCGGAGACTCCTTGGCCATGTCGGGGTTCGCCAGAAGGCTGGTGATACCCACTTTTAGATCCAGTAGGGTGTCGCTGTACATGTCCTGCCACTCGGGCAAGTATTTAATCCTGTTATACCTGCCCGAGCTCTGGCCCGGACTCTGTAGTGCAGCAGACTTGGATGGCGAGTGACCTGCATTTGACGTGTGAGAAACGGCTGACGGAGGTGAGAAAAAAGGGTGACTTACCGGTCAGCGATTGGGAAATGTTCTGGCAACGCTTCCTGATATCGCCCATCCATTCTTCATCTTCCAGTCGCCCCTGAGGGTAC